AAAGGGATAGGGTGAAAGGAGAGAGAGAACAGAAGAAATGGAGGGGAAGAATAGGGTGGAGGGAAATAGAGTTAGTAATATAACTGGGGGAAAAACTGAAGCAAGTTTCTCTGATAAAGGCCTCATTTCTAAAACACGTAGAGAACTGAGTCAAATTTATAAAAATAAGAGCCATTCCCCAATTGATAAATTATCAAAAGATATGAACAGTTTTCAGATAAAGTAATCAAAGCTATCTATAGCCATATGAAAAAAATAATCTCACTATTGCTCGGAAGGATGCAAATTAAAACAATTCTGAGGTACTACCTCATAACTATTAGATTGGCTAATAAGATGGAAAAGGAAAATAAGAATGTTGAAGGGGGTATGGGAAAAATGAGGCATTAATGCACCGTTGTGGAGCTACGAACTGATTCAACTATCCTCTAGAGCAATTTGGAAATATGCCCAAATGGCTATAAAACCATGCATATCCTTTGACCTAGCAATACCACTACTAGGTCTGTATCCCAAAAGAAATTAAAAAAAAAAAGGAAAAGGAACTATATGTACAAAAACATTTATATCAGCTTTCTTCTGGTGGTGAAGAATTGGAAATTGAGGGGATGCCCATCAATTGGGAAATGGCTGAATAAGTTATGGTATGTGATTGTGATGTAATACTATTGTGCTATAAGAAATGATGAGCAGCGTGGCCCCCCAGAAAAACCTGGAAAGGTTTACATGAAGTCATGCAAAGTGAAATGTGCTGTGTACAAAGTAACAGCAATATTGTAAGATGACCGGCTGTGAATGACTTAGCTATTCTCAGCAATACAATGATCCAACACAACTCTGAAGGATTTATGATGAAAAATATTATCCATCCCAAGAGAAAGAACTGATGGTGTCTGAATACAGATTGAAGCATACTTTTTTAACTTTATTTTTCTTGAGGGGTTTTTTTGGTCTATGTTTTCTTTCACAGCATGACTAACATGGAAATGCTTTGCACGACTACACATGTATAACCTATACCAAATTGCTTACCTTCTCAGTGGAGGGAGGGGGAGGAAGGGAGAGAATTTGGAATTCAAAGTTTTTAAAACTAATATTAAAATTGTTTTTACATGTAGCTGGGGGAAAATAAAATACTAAATAAATTCAAAAAATATTTTCAAAATAAAAAAAGAAAATGCATGGACTATAGTTGGGGCTAGACTTAGAAAAATGGACAGTTTTTCATAAGTATACTTAATATCTAACATGACTAAAAGTTGGTTTCATGTTGAAGAATTAAAAAGTATGTGTCAAAATTGTGTGACCTCAATGGCAAATCATGTAAATCATGTGAGTATAGCTAACAAATGTTTCCTATTGAAATCTTATTAAGCTATAATAATAAGAAGAAACTAGCATTTATATAATGCTTTAAGTTCTGCAAAGCACTTCGTAAATATTATATAATTTTATCCTCACAAAAACCCTGGGAGGTGAGTGCTATTATTATCCCCGTTTGACAGATGAAAAAAAATGAGATGAACAGAAATGAAGTGACTTTCCTAATACCAGACAGCTAAGAACTGTCTTAGTTTGGATTCGGACTCAGGTCTTCCTGACTCCAGATTCCATCCTTCTATTCACTACTAAAGTTGTAAGGTGTATTATGTAAATAAATAAAGCTCTTGGCTTTACTTTGCCCCAAGTAATTCACACAACACTCCAAGTCCTAAATAAATGTTTTGTTGAATGGAATTGAACTTTTGCAACAATTCTAATGTAGTCACATTAGAAAATCAAAACCTTGCTTTTGTTTATGATGGGAATCTTTTTAAAAGTTTCAATCTGTGGTTTAAAACCTCATATGACTAACGAAAAACAAATATGCAAACAACTGGCTTGCATTCCCACACCTACCTTTGGACCGTCCCAAAACACTTGAAACATGACTGAATCATGCTGCATAATGATTTACAGTCACTGGGTTTGATATTACACAGTCACCTTAAACTCTGTGTGGCAAAACTCTAAAATATGTCCAGAGAACTGGAGCTCCTCAAACCTGCTTCAATCAGCATTGATCTGTACAAATATTCATAAAATTTCTTAAGTGGGTAGCCTATTTAAATGAGTTTTAAAGCAACATCAAAAACATAAATCTTGAGTTTACAGACACAAACCAGTTCCACTAAAATCAATGTTTAAAAATGTTTAAATTAAACAAATGACTTTCAGGATCTCTAAGTTCACAAGGATCCTGAATCTGGAGCAGGGAGCAATGTTACAGATGGTCTAGGGTTAGGCCAACCTCCTTATTTTACAGACAAACTGAATCACCAAATCACAGAATTTTTATAAAGGCCACCTAGTCCAACCCATACTGCAAGGAAACTCCCATTGTAAATATACCCCCAAAGTGGTAATACAGTCTCTGATTAAAGACCTCCAGGCAGGAGGGAGCCCACCACCACGTAAGACAACAATCCATTCCACTTTAGGCAGTTCTAATTGTCAGTAAGTTTTTACTGATTTCAACCATAAAACTTCCTCTTTGCAATTTCTTCCTATTGTTTCTCCTGGTTTTGCCTTATAGGACTAAGTAAAATAAATCCAACATATGGAAAAATATGATGGCCCTCACATACTTGAGATAATAATCTTCTCCAGAATTGGAATGCATTCTCTTCTCATTTCTAACTCCTAGAATTCCTAGTTTTCTTCAAGGTTCAGCTTACTTACCATCTGTTGTAATAAGCCTTTCCTGATCTTCTAAATCGTTATTACTCTTTCTCCTCCTCAAATTAGCATATGTAATCTTATGCTTAAGAGTTAACCTGGCCTTGTAAAGGGGGAGGGAGGGGGAGCTCAAAACCAGGAGGACCAGGGTTCAAGGGTTGAGCCTCAGACAACACCACACTGACGAGATCCTGAGCAAGAAAACGCTCTCAGTGCCCTAGGCAAGTGGCTAAGACTATAAATTGCAGAACAGATGCAATCAACATTAATAAAGGGAATTTCCTCACCTGGTAGAGGGAATTCCCTAAAGCAATGAAATCAAGAGTCCAGTACCTATCTCTAGGCTAATATTTAAATGTGATGTTAGCCCAGCAGAGTGGAAGTTCCTTGAGGGGCCAAGCCATCTCATTTGTCTTTGTATCCCCAGAATCAGCACAGTGAATAGAGATAGGGAGTGGCCCTTGGACACAGGTTAGGGGTAAGGACCCCAGGGTCTTCCTTGCACATAATGGGCACTTAATAAACGCTTGTTGGATTGTATGGAACACACTGGAGGCAAGGCTACTACTCAACCACAGATATATTACTCATACACACGATTTCACTTGTTCATACTCTTCCCGATGAGTGCCACTGGCTTCTCTGAAAATATATCAAGAAAAACTCATAAGAAGCCTTCTGCTGTTTTACTGTAAAGAAACCAGTAAAAAAAAAAAAGCCATGTATTAAAACTCTAAAAGCACAGCAATGGTTATGCAAGGGAGGAGAAAAGTTGAACACCCATCCTAGATCACTTAAAATGTCCCTGACGGAACTGCCTTAATGGTAGGGGCTCTGTTGGAAAGGTAGAGTATGTCTAATTACATTTCCCACCCCTAAATTTTTCATGGCAATGACTCTGAACCTAATCACGAACCCAGTAAGACTACAGGAGCTCGGTAATGATGCCCTTTAGCGCTGTGCGATTCTAAGACAAACACAGAGACCTAGAATGAAATCAAACTTCGGTGGTAGAAAAGGCGTGACAAAAGTACTCCAGTTGACGAGCTGAAAATGAACCATCCCACCTTGGTTATGACTTGCTAGTACTTGTACTGGCTGCGTCTATTAGTACCGCAAACCCTTCCGTTCAAGAGAAGGAAGATGGAAAGAAGGGAGGGGAAGAAAAGAGAGGGAAAGAATAACTTAAAGAATAACCATGCACAAAATCAAATGCTACATTGTACTTTTCTGGTTTCACTAAAACAAGATAGCCAACCTTTTCCTGAGCAGCAAGATCCGATTTCCAAACCCCTTCGTGCGCCTCTCTTTTTTATTTAAAAGAAAAAACAACCTGCCCCAAGAAGGTGTTACAGTCAGACCCGAAAGGCAATTTCAGACAACAAAGACCCCAAGCAATCAAAATGGAATTATAATCCGCGCTGTATTAGCTGCCACCGACCCGGAGATGGATTTGCTACCAGCTCAGCTTCCTATCAACCTACACCTCCCCCTCCCACCCACCTCCAGGGAGTCTAAACTACCCCCATCCCACCCCCATCCGGGCAGTCTCTCTGGTACCCAGGGGCGGACCTAGCGCCTCGCCCGGGATTTTGCAATCTCGCTGCCGTTTCTCCCAAAAGCTTTATAGCACGCAGTGTTCAAATTCTTTCCCGCCCAGGCATGACGAGAGGAACGATAACAATCGGCTAATACAAGAGAGCTTTGGGGTTGGGGGGGGGATGGAGGAAAAGGAGGAGGTGGAGGAGGAGAAGGAGGAGGAGGGGGAGGAGGGGAAAGAGGAGGAGGAGGAGGAAGAGGAGGAAAAAGGAGGAAGCTTGAACCTGAGGCTAGAAGTCCAGCCCCAGGCTGGTGGTGGCTACGGGCTGAGCCCCTCCGAGTGCTACCCCCTTCCCGAGGTAGGCGGGCGGGCGGCCCGAAGGTGACACAAAGAAACAGAGACAAACGCCGAGCCCGGGAGCTCGTTCCAAAGCCCTGAGCGCTCCGCCCGCTGACAACTTTGCTGCGCCCCCACTAGACCCCGCTCTGTTCCCCCAGGCAAACTTTCCCGCGGCCGCGGGGCCAGTCCCGTCGTCCGTGCTTGGACTCCGGTGCCTTCCGTCCTCTTCATCCTCTCTTCGCCCCCACTCCGCCCCCCATCGTCCTCCTCCTCCTCCCTAGGCTCAGGAAGATTTCCATCCCCAGCACTCGCCCGCCCTCTCCTTCCCTCCTCCCCGCTCTCCCCGCCACAAGGCAACCGCGCAACGCACCGAGGCTTGCAGAGCTGGTGCGGCCCCACTCACCCGAGCCTAGGCCGGCCGGAGGGCGCGGGGCCGAGGAGCCGCGGGCACTGGCACAGCTCTGCGCCTCCCTTTCTTCTTTCTCCCGGGCTCGAGCTTTCCCTTTCTCTCGCTCGCTTTTTGCGTGCAGTCGCTCGAAGCTCTCGGCGCTGCACAGCCCGCTCCGCTCCTTGGCGCTCGGGAAGCGGCAAACCACGCCCCACGCCTTCCCCGCCCGCCAGCCCGCCAGCCCGGGGCTGCCCAGACTCCTGCTCTCAGAGCAGCCGCCAGCACCACCCTCCCTGTCCACTTCAGAGCATGTCCGTAGGGAGCGGGGAGGCGGAGCGCCCCTCGGCTGCTCCTTGCTCAGCCCTGGGCTTCAGGACTTCGGAAGCAGCTCCAGCCCGGCTGCTCGTCCGAAAGGAGAACAACTTTGCGTTTAGTCAAAACCCCATAGAAAGTGCAAGGGCCTGAGGGGCTTGCTCCCGGTGCCAGAAAGCTAAGGATCCTCTACCCTAACCAGAAGAATCCCAGGCCCTTTCAGAGCGCTCAGTTCGAGGAGTGCTTGCGCTCCTCGGATTTTACTGGACCCTGGGCCAATCGAAGAAAAAAGGCTGAGTTGACCCTTGAGGACTCCCTCCACCCTTCTTGATGCGGTTCCATTCAGCAAAAAGTTGGCCATCAGGTGCCGACTTTTTTTTGGCCACACCAACTCCTGCAACTAACTGCCCACCAAGGCTTTGTGGACTTAGTGCGAATACTGATGAAATCTAGGCTCTTGTAGGGAGAATAAGGAATAAGCATTTATGTATTATGTGCCAGGTACTGTGTTTTATTGATTTTTATAAATATCATCTCTTTCGAGATAGGTTTCAATTAGAATCTTTAATTCCGAATTTAGTGCCACGGCACCTTATCTCTTCAACTGGATGTTCCACACGTCCCTCAAATTTTAACATTTCCAAAATCATCTTTTCACTGTTCATCCCAAACCTAACTCCTTCTGACTTTACTGTTGGTGTCTGCAGCACTACCATTCTTCCAGTCTCCCATGTTAGTAACTCTGGGGCTCTCTTTTACTCCCTTTGTTCCCTCACCTCTCATACCCATTTGGTCAGTTAGTAAATATTCATTAAGCACCTACTATGTGCCAGGCATTGTGCTAAGGACTGGGGATACCAAAAAAAAAAAACAGCAAAAGACAGTCCCTGCACTCAAGGAGCTCAAAATCTAATGTCATTTAGCATTCTCTCAGTTCCACCCAACTCTATAACAACGATATCTATGTTCTACTCTCCAGTCCTACTGATAGCAAGACCGTCATTACCATCTCTTTACTTCTTGGACTATTGTAACTTCTAATGGGCTCATACTACTTACATCTTCTTCTCATGCAATACTTCATAGAACTGTCCAAAGAATTTTTCTTATGTGTTGGCTTGGCCATGTCCTTCCAATGTTCAAAAGTCTTCAATAGGTCTGTATTGCCACTGAGAAGAATTCACACTTCCTTATTCAATGTTCTCCACAATATGGCACTTTCTTGTATAATTTTTACAGTATACCTTAGCCAAAACTACTCTGTGTCTCAGAAACAGGCTCTCTATTTTCCTGTGTCTGTACTTTTGTCCACAATGTTCCCTATGCCTGAAAAAATCTTCCTTTCCCATCTTTGCCTGGTGAATGTGTATCCATCCTTTCAATTCCTTCTCAAGAACTATGTCCTACAGAAAGCTTTCGCTGATTCTCCTTTCCTTAGGAATAACTTTTCTCCACAGATCTCATATAACACTTTATTCTTTACTCTCCTAAAATAGGACTACAGTTGTCTTACCCCCATGATAGAATGTAAGTCCTGTAAGAACAGGGAATATGCATTCAGTATACTGAAAAGAACATGGGGATGAGTTATTAAGATCTTGGTTCAAAACTCAGCTTTTTACCTATTAAAGCCTCAGTTTCCTCATCTGTAAAATGGAAATAATAATACTGATACTGCTTCCTCACCGAATTGTTAGGAAAGTGTTTTGTAAACCTGAAAGTGATGACTTAAATGTAAGTTATTATTATGTTATAAAAACTGTATATCTATTCAAGTGCCTAGGAAATTGGTCCATACATAATAGGTACTTTATAAATGATTGTTGATTGAACCGAAGTAAAACATCATCGAGAGAGAGCCAGACAAAGAGCCAGACACAGAGAAATAGAGAGGCAGAAAGACCATCAGGCAAATTAATTTCATTCAATTCCATCGAATTAAACAATTAAGCACCAACAAGCTGGTACTAATAAAGCACATACAAGTTAAATGTAACAATAATAAAAATAATAATGTTAAGTAGCCACCTGCTACTTTATGTAGTAGCAAAGAAATGGAAACAAAGATGTCCATCAATTGAGGAATGGCTAAACAGATTGTGGCATATAGGTGTGGTGGAATATTAATGCATTGAAGAAAACAACAAATGTGAAGACCACAGAGAAGCATGGGAAGACGTTGATCTTTGACCAAGCCCAACCCCCAGAAAACCTAGAATGTAATAAAAGATGTTAACAAGGTTTTAAGCTAACTGGAGCAGCTAAGTGGTGCAGTGGATAGAGCACTAGGTCTAAAGTCAGGAAAACTCATCTTCCTGAGTTCAAATCAGGCCTCAGACACTTACTGTGTGACCCTAGGCAAGTCACCTAACTCTGTTTGCCTCAGTTTCCTGATCTCTAAAATGAGCTGGAGAAGGAAATGGCAAATCACTCCAGGATCTTTGCCAAGAAAACCCCTAATGGGGTCAAGAGGGGTCAGACATGACTGAAACAACTCAACCACACAAGATGCTTAAGCCCCTAAGTTTCTATGAAATGGGAATATCTTTTTCTCAGTGAATGAGGAGGGCAGGCAATTTCATTGACTGAAAGAAGATAGGCTTACCCATAGGTGATCCTTTAAAGATGGTTTATAGGTTTGAGGGAGTGCAGACCCAGGAGGAGGCCCCTGTAGGAGGAGAGAAGAAGACTGCTCTCTCTGTAGTGACTTCTCCAGATAGAGATACACCGTACAGAAGTTTAAGAGTTCATTGATTCAAAAGAATTTGAGACACAATTTAAGGAGCAGAGACATACCCTTCATACAGACATAGATACATAAAGGCAGTCACTTAAGAGAAGTGGCAGCTTTGAGGAACGGATATCAGGCATCAGAGAAGAAAGCAAGATGTGGACTCAAGAGAGTTAGTCTAGTAATAGTTGAGACGTACAGAAGGGCAGACCCTGGGAATTTAGCTAAATAACCTGATCATAGGGGTCACTACATAAAAGATGTTCAACAAAAGGACTCTACAAAGAGAGAAAGGATTTCTGGCCCATACTACCAGAACCCATATGCATCCTAAAAATTTTCCTCACTACCGTGATACTATTAGTTTAAGGCCACTCTTCCAATGGATACTGTGTATATTTGTAGGAGAATGCCTGAAATTTACAGGGGAGGGGACAGTGCTTTGCAGTTGTAGTTTTCATTATACTATCATAGTAATACCTTTGCTGAGAAATAATTGCTTCTTCTAGCTGATTGTTCATTAGGAACACATCAGTGGGGGCTTGCGAGTTAGAATGGTGGCCCTGTGGGGTGGATCCAAGATGGTGGATTAGGGGCAGCCACCAAGCTGAATTCTCCCAACATTTTTTTACCAAGCAACTATAAAATAACACCTCAAATTAAATTTTGGAGTAGCAGAGCCAACAAAAACTCAGGGTGAGATTTCTTTTTGGCCTAAGAAAACTTAAGAGGTAGACAGAAGAATTCTAAAACACTGGGGTGGAGGTCAGTGGTGTCCAGAGCCCACATATGTGGTGGCAGCAATTTGGGGAGCTCTCCACACAGAGACAGTAAGGAGGGGTCAGACAACTGGTCAGAAAGAAATTACAGGGGACCCTTTGTTGGTACTAAGTACAGCTGGTGCTGATTGGCAAGTCTATTGCTTATACAAAGTTCTAAGTCACAGTTCCAGGGCAGAGAGGAACACTGGTGGCTGGTCACATGGAAGCAGGGGCCTAGGTCATAATACCAAAGCAGAGAGTACAGTGAGTGTGCGCAGCTGCAGGGTACCAGAGACCCTTCTTTGGTAAAAACCAGAGTGCAGACCAGGAGAGCAGTGAGCATGCCTCTCCCAGGATCACACCACCTTGTAAGCATCAAACACTTATAGACTCCAAGAACTAGCTCTGAAAGAAGCAGCATGAAAAAGTCTGAAACTTGGGATAGTGTCTCCCCACTTCAAGGTGAGCAGCACACAAGTTTAACCTAAAGTTCAAAGTCAGGAAAAAAGGCTGGAAAAAAGAGCAAAGAGTAATCATAAGGGACTCAATAAAATTAAACTATTTATGTACCTATATGGGAAAATGATACATGTAGCTCCCTAAGAACTTCATCATTATTGGGGCAGTTAGAAGGTATTTACATAGACAGAGGCCAGGGATGTGAGTAGATTATGTTAGAATAATCTCCAAAACAATGAAGGAAGGAGAAAATGGAATGTACTGGAACAAGGAGGAAGGGAGAGGTAGAATGAGGGAAATTATCTCATAAAAGAGGTGTGCAAAGGAGAGCTTTTACAATGGAGGGAAAACAGGGAACTATTACTTTGCAAATTGCTTCTTAAAATAATAGCTACATTTATATAGTATTTTCAATTTTGCATTGTGCTTTACAAATATTATCTCATTTTATCTTCCCAACAATCCAGGGAGGTCCTGATGAAGATCTGCCCAATATCTGCCCAAGATCATACAGGAAATTGTGGGGATGGGCTCAGATTCTGATCCTCTGAGTCAAAACTGAATACTCTTTTCACTATTACATACATAAAGAAATTGTTTGTAGAAGATAATAATAGCTAACATCTATAAGTTGTTGTTTGTTTTTAGTCCTGTCTGATTATTTGTGATCCCTTTTAGGGTTTTCTTGGCAGAGATAATGGAGTGGTTTGTCATTTTCTTCTTCAGCTTATTTTATAGATAAGGAAACTGAGGCAAACAGGGTTAAGTGACTTGGCTAGGGTCATATAACTAGTTAAGTGTCTGAGGCTAGATTTTAAGGCAAGAAGATGACTCTTCCTGACTCCAGGCCATGTGCTCTACCCACTCCACTACCTAGTTGCCGGAGCACATTTATATAGAGTTTATTA